TCAGGTGCATTTCATCTGTGTACGCACAACCCTTCCAGACTACATCCACCATTTCATACCTGCTGCTCCGCTCCTTTCATACCTGCCCTGCTTTCCTTAAGAAGAAAGCAGACCAAAGTTTCCAAAGAATGTTTGGTTTGGTTCGGTTTGGTAAGTGAAGGAAATTTGGGGCATAGAAAGATGATACTTTGATTCTTCAAGTTTTCACAAATTGCGGACGGACACATTCTACGAGCCACGCACATCGTGCTCCTTGTTCTCTCCTCTGGATTGGACAAATGCTTGCCAGAACCATGGCCAATCACTGCACCCCCGCATTCAGCACAAAACAGAAGTCGGTCTGCCTCCACAAACAAAGTCCCGCAAGACCCAGCGGGCTTGTATTCTTACCTACGCAATCGCAATCGTGCCAAAACGCACGCAGACAGACGTGCAGAAAATCCCAAAGCGCAAAGTGAAGGAAATGCACTCAGAGAGACTTTCTTTGAAAAGAAGAGACGGAAAGAGGAGAGAGATTCGGTACCTGCCTGACTGGCAAGAGGGAACAGACCTGCTACTGTTCCTATACCTGCCATAAAGCCCAAGCCCTGTGCGCATCAAAACGAAAACATAGCTTCTTCAACATAGCTTCTTCAAGCGGAGAATAGGACAAAGTACAATTCTGATACGGTGAGAATCGATTGACGACAATAGAAGAAAGGAAAGGGGGAACAGAAAATAAAAGAAGAGCTGCGCCCCCACAGCCGGAATTCGAAAAACGAAGTTGGGAAAAAAAAACAGCAAGAAGAGTGTTAGCACTGCAGCAAATTTCCACACAAGGATTGGAGGGAAAAAAAAAAAAAAAAGAAAGGTAAGAAAAAAAAGCTCTCATTACTCCTTGCATCACTGGACAGAATTTGACAATAACACCCAAACTGGACAGAATTTTGCAAAGTCCAAATTTCATTTTGCGCTTTCCCACCACCGACGGACCGACCTTCACCCAAAGTTCCCCTTCCCCTTGAATTTCACAATAGATTTCCAAGCCAGGATCATTCATGCACTGCTTTTGAGCTGCAATGCCTAATTATTTTATTTATAGGTTCTCTGGTATTAGGATTTACCACCAAAGGGATGACAATGAAGATAGCCGTCTGAGAAGACAATCGCCACGTCGACAAGCTTTGCGCCCACACCCCCTCCAATCCCCAAATTGGACTATTATCACCACGTCGACAAGCTTCCTGCCCACACCCCCTCCAATCCCCAAATTGCACTCTAAATGCCTTATATATATTGTCACATCACTACAAACTAAAAGAGCGCACTTTGCGAAACAAAGAATAAAAGCAAAAAAAAGCACAGTGATAACATGCAAAAATAAAAATAAAAAGAAAAACAAAAAGAAAAAACAAGGGCAGATTGAAACCATTAAATTTCTCATTCTTCTTTGAACTCCACCTCCACTGTGCCTCTCACGTGCAAGGCTCGCCACGTCGATGAAGTTGAGCGCGAGCTGCCCCCATCCCCGTATGCCATAACAGCCCACTTGCACGCTGTGAGAGAGGCAGAGTGAAGGGGAAGGTGTTAAAC